GATAGAAGGTCCTCGTCTCCGACAGCGAGAGTGGTTGCTGTCCTCGTGGATGTACAGGCCCGAGATGGTGGCGGGCGTAGGCCGTGTAGGGGACACGTACCAAACGGGATAGTTGTTATGATGAATTCGGGGGAAACAAGAGAAAGTACAATGGCTTGTGGGTGCTTATATTGACTTCCCCAGGGGAGGCGTGTCCATGCCTCCCCTCTCTGTGGACAGACCCCTTCACAACAGACATTTTGCAAAGGAAACACATCGGATTGATGCAAATGATCATAACACATGTACAAACACACACCGTATTTCATTACTTTGACATTGATACACACATGTGAGGTCTGTAACGGTTATCAATCATAATATCACCGAATAATGTCCTTTGAGTGTCCGCCTTGGGTGTGATGGCGTCCAGTATCCACTGGGGGGCGCCAGAGGGCCGCGGGTGGACCCCTTGGTCCGTGGAATGCATTGTGACAATGCTGATTCGTATCAGATTCTCTGTTGACATGAAAAAGGCACCAGATGGGTATCCCGCTGTTTTATGGGTCCGTCTGGCGTCTGTAATCCTCATGATGGATATCTGCTCCTGTGGTTGAACCCCATGGTTCCTTTGAAGTTGTATCTCTCCATTTGGTCAATGGTAAACAGAGCGGACAGGCTCGGCCCTATCCTCAGTTTAACCTTACAATTGATTGAAACCTTGTTGTTGTTTCTTGTATAAAGACACAGCCACCCAATGTGCCACCTGCTGTTCCCAGAGGTCTCCCATCACAAACCAGGCCTTGTCCTGCTTAGCTTCAGAGGTCTGATGGGATCTTCCTGCCACAGGCAGGTGGTCCCATGGGAAAGCCAGATCCCGCAGTGTGGTGCAGCAAAGGGCAGTGGGAAAGGGGTGGAGCAGTGTGTGTGATTATTTCATGCAGGTGGACAACCCCAGGTGCCACAGTGGGGCAGCTGCGGCTGCAAAGCGCCAAACTGCTTATGCTCCTTGTAAATGGAACACTTTGCCTGCCACTATCAAATGTGCTCCAACTCTAACCTATTTTAAGAGTAAACTCAAGATTAATCATGTCAATGTTGTTTTTGTCCCTGTCTTTGTGAAGCTCGATCTTGTATAAAATGTTTAATACATGAATTCTTTTTCAAATGTATTACTTAAGACTGGAGTCTGAAATCCACACAGTTAATTAGAACAGCAAACTCGCACTGCTGTAGTCACTTTAATTTAATTTGTACATAATATATCTTGTGCGAAAGACACTATCTTTTCACTTTTTAACATTTCGTTTGTCTTTTGCACAACCTGAGTGATTCTATTTATGCCAAATGTGTCATGTACATTTCTCCGCTGTAAGATCAATAAAATCGATCTCATCTTAATTGAGGACTACAGATGGAAAGTAGCATGATGCTAAATCTGGTGTAGCCCACTTTTTATTGTAACTACATGCCGACCCTTAAGTAAACAAACTTTATTCATTATTTTAAAACCTTGATCTTTCCCTAATCTGGGAAAACAAATCTTTGTCGAATGACTTGATATAACGTGTCGTTGTTGCCTTAAGGTCCGTTGAAAATGAGCATGAGGTAAATCCAGTCTATCACGCAGTAAAAGCTGGGGCCATAAAGCAGCCGGAGCTGGCTTTTATCACTGTTTGATGCTCTCCTCTGAGCGCATCCTTCACTCCCTCTGTCCCATCAGGAGTCACAGGACGAGCTGCTGTATCAGTCATGCTCCATAGATGATGATGAGAGTCCATTTGGCTGACCAATGAGCATCTTAACCTTTAGGGGTCAGTGAGTCCACTACTGCTGATGGTTAAGGCTCTCCTATCGGATGGCTTCATCCTTCTGTGAGGCAAACATTTGGATTCTGTCCTCAAAGCAGTTTTTGTCTCTTTTACATCCATAGTATTTAGAAATGTTTCACTAATGGGGACTCATCTGTGGGTGTTTTGAGTTTATGATGTAAACCAGAGTGGAGGAAACATTCAAATCCTGTACACTAAATGAACCAGTCTAGCCCAGGGATTGAACCAGCAACCTTCTTACTGTTAGTGTGGGTACAGGCCACTCAGAAGATTCTTTAGTCTTACTAGAGCAGGGGTCGGGAACCCAAAAGGTTCAAAGATCCATATTTGACAAAAAAACTAAAAACAACATCCGTCTGGAGCCGCAAAAAAACAAAAACAGCCTTGTTATAAGGCTTATATGAAGGTAACACAGGCTTCAATATGTATTAGCTATATTAGCCTAATATCTAAATGACAAAGTAAAGGCTACGAATACGTAATAAGCATTCATGATTATCAAATGTGTGTTTTCACTTTTTCTTTCACAGTCTTTGCAGAGGTATTTGAAGTCTGAAAATAGGTGCTATGACTTTTTGATGAATTAATCCTTCACAAAATCCCCGTGAACGGTGTTTAGCGCTTCATTGTTCCTCGTGTAGCAACAAAACTGTTCACAGCAGCGTCCGCGTCATAGGATAACTAGAAATAAAATATACCCCTCACACTCCAGGAGCCACTCGAGGAGGACTAAAGAGCCGCATGCAGCTCTAGATCCGCGGGTTGCCGACCCCTGCACTAGAGCCACCACTTACCAAAATAATCATTAAAACAGTATCTGAACTCAGTATCTTTTCAATACATGGTCTTCGGATGTCTTCTGCTGTGAGCTGTTATCCTGTTTGCACTGGATTTCAGAAATATTTTTTTATATAGCGCCTTTCACAGAGCAGAGTCACAAAACACTTTCACAATTTGTTGATTTTTAGTCATTTTGTCACTCACTCCAAGCAGAGATGGGAGCGGGGTCAGTACAGGAGGCGCATGTACATGTTTTTAGTGGTAGGGGAAACCGGAGGACCTGGAGCAAACCTACGCAGAAATAGGGAGAACATGCAAACTCCGGAAATGCCTGGATGTGGAACCCTGGACCTCCTTGTTGTGAACCACGAGCGCTAACAACTGCCCATTTCCCATGATTCCGCCTGCCTTTGTATTCTTGCAGAATGAATCATTAAAACCATATTCTGCTCGGTAAATGTAGAACTATGGGAAGGAAGTTGAATAGTATATTACAGTATGTTTCCGGAACGATGTGAGTGCAACTGTTTTGAGGTTGACGGTTTTTTTTTTTTTTTTCAATTTGCTGGATTTGAGTGCAGCTTGAAAATGCTCTATTTCAGAAGACTGAGCTTCCCTGCCCATCAAACGTTATATTGCACTGTGCACAGCAATCAAGCATCAAGAACCTTTGATGTGAAATAGATACTTTAGTGAGGAACACCAGGATGGGATATTGCCTGGCAACAGTCGCAAACTCACTTGTTGTGGGATTCTTGAGGATGCTCCAGCGGTGGTGAGGGCAGAGGAGACAAAGGTGGAGGATGTGTACAATCATGGAGCAGTGTGAGCGTGTGTGATCAAGGCTCTGTTTGGTTTGCCTTCAGGCTGTAGAGCTAGATTAAAGTCCAGAAAATGGGATTATAAAGTCCCTGGAGGAGGGATGCCCAGGAGCAGATGATGAGGGCTCATCTCGTCTGGTTTCCGGTTGCTAAACTGTTACTGCACGTTTCTGTCTGAGAAAAGATGGTTTGTATGTGAAAACTAGTGATAGAGACATGGGAGCTAAAAGAACTGGTTAAATGAATTATATGACTGTGTTTCATGTTTATGGTTTAAGTTATCTACCCCAGCTTTGATTTTGCATTTCATTTAGTGACATGTTGCAGTGGTATAACCAGAGTTGCATTATGCCAACCTTTTTAGAGTTTTAACATAAATATTTTATGAAACTTCTAAGAAATCCCAACAAAATAAAAATGGACAATTCATTGAATAACCATAAATGTCCCACTTGTTTACATTTGTATTGCTGAAAAAGATAGTGTTGTCAATAGTACATTTCAAAGTCTGTTTTGATTCTAGATCATTTATAAATTCTCTTTTTGGAAAATAACCCGTCATATTTAACTCAAAATAAGACTTTTATGAGGTCAGGGGTTTTCTACACTTTTTCTTTTATAGTTTGCTCAAGAAATTTCACCTATTGTCCTCTTTACTTTCTAAAACTAGTATCCAGACTTTTACTGCCATACTTTTTTTTTTTTTTTCAGAATTATTTGTGAAATTATTGATTTATTTTTAAAATCCTTGGGTAGGATCCTTTGTTTTGTTACCCGTTTCTGTGACACTAATTGAGTTACGCAAGTCCGCATGTCAAGTGTCGTGTATGGTAAAAGTTTGCTATTAAGAGAACATTTGACAAGGTCATAACTCTACCTCTGAAGTGTGAGTGAGGCAGCGAGGTATGTGTATATGTGTGTGTAATATGCGTAAGTGCATTATTTTAGTGTTTTGTGTTACTAATTGTATTTTATGCTTATTTTTAGTTTGACGGTGTTTCATGTTTCACTTAAATATTGTGTGCAAGCAATAATAAAGAAGAGAGCCATCAGTAAAAGAACTCTTAATTAATTAATAAATGTTCTTGTTATACTTTTGAAATACCTAATCGCTAGTGTGATCTGCTTCTACACTATTTGGATCCATTTTTATATATACAATAATGTCCCACCGCTATAAAAAAGTCCAGCCTGTAAAAGTCCAGCTCGCTCCGTCTGTCGTTTTCTCTGTCTCTGGCTCGGCCTCCCGCCCCTCCCACCTCATAAATATCCAAGCGCCCCTTCTCCTCACCATGCAGGCGCTCCTGGTGTAGTCATTGGCAGAGAGGGGGAGTGTCTCTGAGCCACAACTCCGGCGCGTGTGAAAAAGACAGAGCGCGGCAGAGAGCGCCGGAGATAACAGTACTGCTGCTGCTGCTGCTGCTGCTGCTGCTGCTGCTGCTGACGACCTCCACGTCCTCCGCACTCACTCCGCACTCTCTCCAATCCCTCTGCGTGAATGAATGGGACACGCTGGCGAAGGAGGACTGGCCCATGAGAAGCACAGCGGAGGGTGAAGAGAGATTTGGACGTCTCCACAGCGACTATAATGGGCTGCAATCTGTGCACTTTACAGAAGCGCGAGGAACACTACAAGCTGCTGTATGAGATTGCACAGGTGAGCGACACTGGCTCTAAGGCGATTTTTGATCTTGAGCCTGTTTACTGATTGAGCATTTATGGACATTTATCAACATTGGTAATCTACCCCTTAAGGACCAATGGCTCTATGTGGCTTTTATCATTCCATTTCTTGTGTTTGAACTGTTTTAGTCTCTGATTTGTGTTGGCGATTTCAACGGTTTTGGAAAGTCCTCAGAGATACCTAATGTTGTGATTTAGGGCGGTACAAGAATACACTGAGTTGAATTGAGCAAGTTCTTAATCTTGCACTAATACTTTGCTATTTCTTGTCATCTTGTGGGTTTATGCGTGTTTAAGTACTGGTTTGGTTTGTTTTGGCTCATGTCTTTGTTTTGGGTGCGATCACACTTGTCCCTGCTATAGACCAGTTTAGAATTGTTTTGGTTGATTTTAGTCCAAATTGAATCCCATTGTCAATGTCGTCTATGGCACCCTTTGTCTTCACTTAAAATCTTCTCATTCGTTGCCAAAGATAACACATACTTGTTTTCGTTCTTGCGATTAGTCCTGGCCGTAGTCACGAGAGAGCAATTTCAGCGAACCCCTCGGAGTCTTTTGTGAGTCACTGCTGCGTTGGCATAAATGATCAACAATGAGGGATGTTTTTTTTTTTTATAATTGGGAAGTTGCGTGTTTGCCTTTCATGCTTTAACAGACGGGAAATTTGGGAGGAATGGATAGTTCTGTGTCGAGCCGGATCGAAGAGGCTGTTCGTCTGCGGGAGCTCGTTGCTGAGAGAGCAACTTTTTATGGGCTTCAACCACCTCCACCTCCACACCTGAGCTCTTTTATATTTAGCCCTAATTTATTACAGTTCTCAGGTGTGCTTACCTTTCTCAGCAGCACCATTTATTCTCTCAAGTCTGCAATGTTGGAAGGTGGCAATCTGTGAGAGAGTGGTTGCAATGTTATCGGACAATTTCGACCTGATTCTCACTCAGCAGCTGTCAACACAATGGAAGGCAATAGACTACTATACATGAATAATTAGGTTTTTGTGTGGCAATTTCATTCTTACTATAGCTTATTTACGTCAATGTCATATTTGACAATCCTCCCAGTTCTTCCTGACACAAAACCCTTTATATCAGCTCAAATCAAATGAACCTTTGCAGTTATAACAACACATATACGATTGTCTATCACAGATGTACGTTAACACTCACGCAATGCTATTATTCTTTGTTTCCCTCATGGCGGAAGGTTCAAAATACAAAACAAACATTATGAGTCCCCCGTACACTGGCCGTGCCCCGCTCCACTCATCAACCTTCTCCCTGTGACAGCCTAATAACCGTAAGTCTCCTGGAAGTCGTGCGTTCCCCCGTCGCACACGCCGCTACCTACACTTCACGGTGCTCTGCTCACAGCCTCATTAACTGTTTTATACAAGCGTCCCGTGCATTCATTAGACGTGAAATGTCTCTGCTTTACCCTTGTGAGGAGAGGCATCAGAGACAGCGGGGGCGGCAACAAGACTGGGTTAACCACTGCCTGTTTGGGGCTATTGCCTTCAACCGTTCTGAACAAAGCAAGTGGAAATTGTGATGTTTTTTTCTATTAAAAGAACATTTGAAGTCCTTACTTTTTGAGGCGGTTTTTGCATGGAGCAAGCAGGCGCAGGTTCATACAAATTCTTATGTTTAATCTGTAGAGAAATGCTGTATATTGTTGCATGCCATAGTTACTGTATCGATTCAATACCTGATATATTTTGGGTCTCAATATTTATCGTGCGGACATTTTATTTGGAAGTGGATGTAAAACAATGAGGCTTTTGCTGTTGGTGGTTCAATATGATTAAATGTTACTTTGTCTGTTTCATAACTCATGCTTTTTTAATGAAATTGACTCGTACAAAACTTGCTTTACAGGTATTGTACTAGCACTTGTGGCATTAAGTAATTCTGATATTACCGTTTATCACAATCATTTTCGTATCAAAATATCGTCCATCAAACTGTTATTGTGACTTAGTGTGCCAATTGCATCATGTACTGTTTTAGATTTTACTTGAATAGAAAAGAAAATCAATCATAATCATAATCAAGGTTTGGGTGGAAATATGTCAGGCTTAAAAGTATTTTGTGTTTGTGCATAATATCCTGGACTGACTTTGCCCATTCACCCAACGACCTCATTGGCCGAGTTTCAGCTTCTCTCTGTTAGACTAAAGTTGTGTAACTGGAAAACAAAAGAATGAATATGTTGCCGTAAGGCTCTCAAAGGGCTCATAAAAATTGTGCTGTCTCTCGCTCTTACCTTTGCTTTTACTCTCCCTGCATGAATTGTTAAGGCGTACTTAAGTCCTGTTATGGGTTTAACTGAGGGGATCAGCACTCGCCGAGGGGGCCAGTCTCGAGGGCGCACTCACGTTGACAAAAGCTCCGCAGCCCGTCTGCCCTGTCCACCCAATGAAGCTGGCTGCTGCATCAGCACCACGGACAGAGGCGCGCAGTGGGAGGCCAGTGCGAAGGGGATGGAGCGTGGAGGATAAGGACAGGAGTGGGAATTGAGGCTTATTAAAGTACAGTGGTTAGGGGGAAAATAGGGAGGGTGGGTGAAAAAGGCAGTTAGGAAGTGATGGAATTAACACAGAACTAGAATTAGTATTTTATTACATTTATTACTATCCCTGTCTGATATCGCTCATGTCATGCTGGTCTTGTCAGTCACCAAATGCAGTTTCAATGATTGAAAGTAAAGTGAAATGTTCTGTTAATATCAAGATTTTTACTCACAGTCAGACCATTGCTACCTCACATTAGTTATATTGCAACTTCCATCCATCCATTTTCTTCCCCTTAATCCATTTCTGGGTTGGGGGGGTGGCAGTCAGAGCTGCACCCAATACACTAAGCACCAGTCCCTCACTGATCCTCCTGCAGGTGGTGAGTCCACAGGAGCTGAGATCTTTCAGTGGGGCTTCAGGCAAAGTGGGGTTAAGTGTCTTGCAACTTATTTTTCATAATTAATGTGGATAATGAGACTACTTACTTAGTCATTTAATGTTTAAGACTGTGAATAAATAATTTAAGTAAAAAAAATATGGTGAAATAAGTGTGATGGATTAAATAAATGTCACCACCAATAGGGCAGAGTTGAATTGGTTTGAATTGAATTTCTTTTTACAAATGCATAAAATTCTCGCAAACTCAGACCTGCAATAGTAAATAGTCATTTCACCTGAGAAATTTCCAAAATGGATTTTGTTTGAAAAAAGGTCCAACTGTGATGCCATAGTGGTTCTAGAAGGGACGGAGTTATATTTTTGTGGCAGAAGATCCTCAAATTAGCTTGAATGGATCTAAATAAAACTGCAGGTCTGTTTTTTGATATTGTACCATGGTAAACAACTCAAAGTCAATCTCTTTAATATATCTCCTGTTTCTTTTTGGCTCATTCTCAGACCGTTGCTACCTCAGGTTCTGTTCTCAATCAGTTTCTTTTATAGATAGATAGATAGATACTTTATTGATCCCCGTAAAAGAAATTCAGGTGTCCAGCAGCAGAAAAAACACATCCATCCACACAAACAAAACATTTAAATTGATTTCCCAAAAAGCTAACAATAGTAATAATAAAATGCAACAGCCCTTCAGGTCACAGAAGCATGGGTGGAGTAGCCGCTTGGTTTGGACCATTTTCTCTGCTCTAGTCCAAAGTAAAATGCTGAATGCTTCATTAGCATTTTTCAATAAGTTAGAATTCCTCCTGTGGATTTTTGGCTGATCCTCTTGGTTCGGACCATAAATCCTCTCTGCTCTGGTCTGGTCCAGTACAAAACCATGAACACTGTGCTGCAGCAACATCTCAGGTAGAAAAAGAACAATGTTGGTATGTTCTGAAGTCCTTTGACATTGCTTCAAAATCCACGAATTCCACGAACTATGTAATGGTTCTAATTTAAGTCTGTCTTGGTTAGTCATTAGTCTTCTATTTATCCTAGTTGCACTTGTGTGGCCAATGATTTACGTAGGCCATGGTGGGTGAAAAATGTGAGTGCCACTGTGTGAGTCTAAAACAAAATCTCTGTAGTTTAATGCAAGGACATGATCTGTGAAGGAATGGCCGTGCGTGGGTTTGTTTGTAATCCGAGTTTGTGATTTCAACGATTCAATGCTTGCAATAAACTAAATACGGCTAACTTTGAGGACATAATTCCTCAAGGGCATTCATGAATCAGAAAGCCTCAACCTATTTACTTGGGCACACATACACACAACAACTCAGTGTGCAGTGTCTGAATCAGAATTCTTTCACAGCGGTGGCTTCTTTTCCTCCTTCCTTCACACCGAGAGACTATTTTGACACTCTCAGCTTGGCCCTAACCCCAACACTGTGTGAGATTTATGAGGAACGGACTTTGTCAGTGGCAAAGATGCATGCGGACGTGCTCACCTCTCGACCCGGCTCTCTCTGCTCAAACCCATGTTTTCTATAGCGTATTGCTTTCTTGTCTGAACTGGAATCCAATCTTTAAAATTCGTCCTCATCACACATTTCTGATTACAGTTATAAGGACTTTTACATGTTTTCAAAGAGGAGCTTTAATACCAATTCGGCATGTAAGGGCACAGCCTGCCATGGAAGAGTGACACCTTTCCACAAATTTTTTGAAAGTGTCTTCTGGTTCTTTGGAGAAAGCTATATTATTTGCTAATCCAATGTTTTTCATATCCAGTACAAGAACTGATCTGTTTTGTTCTTTCTTTCATGTATACTTACTACTTCACTGCTACTCTACTCTACAATGGCATGTCACTCCAAAGTCTTGTCTTTATCAATGATTTCAAAGACTTTAAGAACTTTCTAGACTAAATCCATCCAGCCTGTTCAATAGTCATTGATTGTCTTCAGTGTCATTCACACTGTTGCGTGTCCCTGAGGTGCCGATTGTTGTGCATTGCAGCTCAGCGATGTGTGTCTTTCTGTGGCTAATTAACGGGGTGGCAGATGTTGATGAACACTGTGCAACTCGGGATTCTACAAGTCAGGGGGCTGTCTCCGGGTGTAACCAAGCATTCATAAAATACATTTGATTTTGACAGTGGCCTTATTAGCAAATGAAAACAAAGGGACTCCCAAGAGTGTGGGTGTCAGGATGTAGTAAGTGACTTCACATGAATTCCATAAATGGTTTGGGTCTTTATATTTTCATTTTGTTTTTGTTTTTAAAGTTTTTATTGGAATTGAGAAGAATCAGCTTGGCTGCATTGGAGAAATAAATGCAAAGCAGTTTGTTCCCAGTGCAATGAGGCACGGCGCTCCCTGATAAGCTCCTGATGCATATGAATGAGAGAGGAGCACCCAGAGCGCAGCCACAGCATACACACCACGGCGTACACACTACAGCGTACACACCACAGCGTACACACTACAGCGTACACACCACAGCGTACACACTACAGGGTACACACCACAGCGTACACACTACAGCGTACACACCACAGCGTACACACTACAGCGTACACACCACAGCGTACACACTACAGCGTACACACCACGGCGTACACACTATAGCGTACACACTACAGCGTACACACCACAGCGTACACACCACAGCGTAAACACCACAGCGTACACACTACAGCGTACACACCACGGCGTACACACTGCAGCGTACACACCACAGCGTACACACTACAGCGTACACACCACAGCGTACACACCACAGCGTACACACTACAGCGTACACACCACGGCGTACACACTGCAGCGTACACACTACAGCGTACACACTACGGCGTACACACCACGGCGTACACACCACGGCGTACACACTGCAGCGTACACACTACAGCGTACACACCACAGCGTACACACCACGGCGTACACACTGCAGCGTACACACTACAGCGTACACACCACAGCGTACACACTACAGGGTACACACCACAGCGTACACACTACAGCGTACACACCACGGAGTACACACTGCAGCGTACACACTACAGGGTACACACCACAGCGTACACACTGCAGCGTACACACTACAGCGTACACACCGCAGCGTACACACTGCAGCGTACACACTACAGCGTACACACCACGGCGTACACACTGCAGCGTACACACCACAGCGTACACACTACAGCGTACACACCACGGCGTACACACTGCAGCGTACACACTACAGCGTACACACCACAGCGTACACACTACAGGGTACACACCACAGCGTACACACTACAGGGTACACACCACAGCGTACACACTACAGCGTACACACCACGGCGTACACACTGCAGCGTACACACTACAGGGTACACACCACGGCGTACACACCACAGCGTACACACTACAGCGTACACACCACAGCGTACACACTGCAGCGTACACACTACAGCGTACACACCACAGCGTACACACCACGGCGTACACACTGCAGCGTACACACCACAGCGTACACACTACAGCGTACACACCACGGCGTACACACTGCAGCGTACACACTACAGCGTACACACCACAGCGTACACACTACAGGGTACACACCACAGCGTACACACTACAGCGTACACACCACGGCGTACACACTACAGGGTACACACCACAGCGTACACACCACAGCGTACACACTACAGCGTACACACTGCAGCGTACACACTACAGCGTACACACCACGGCGTACACACTACAGGGTACACACTACAGCGTACACACTGCAGCGTACACACCACAGCGTACACACTACAGCGTACACACTACAGCGTACACACTACAGCGTACACACCACAGCGTACACACCACAGCGTACACACTACAGCGTACACACTGCAGCGTACACACTACAGCGTACACACCACGGCGTACACACTACAGGGTACACACCACAGCGTACACACTACAGCGTACACACCACGGCGTACACACTACAGGGTACACACCACAGCGTACACACTATAGCGTACACACTACAGCGTACACACCACGGCGTACACACTACAGGGTACACACTACAGCGTACACACTGCAGCGTACACACCACAGCGTACACACTACAGCGTACACACTACAGCGTACACACTACAGCGTACACACTACAGCGTACACACCACAGCGTACACACCACAGCGTACACACTACAGCGTACACACTGCAGCGTACACACTACAGCGTACACACCACGGCGTACACACTACAGGGTACACACCACAGCGTACACACTACAGCGTACACACCACGGCGTACACACTACAGGGTACACACCACACAGCGTACACACTATAGCGTACACACTACAGCGTACACACTACAGCGTACACACTACAGCGTACAGACTACAGCGTACACACTACAGCGTACAGACTACAGCGTACACACTACAGCGTACACACTACAGCGTACACACTACAGCGTACACACTACAGCGTACGCAGCGCGGCTCTGCAAACAAAAACACATTCTTAGCGAACATTTCAGTTATTACACCACAGAGCTGAATGTATGTGACGGGCCAAAGAAGCCGCGCATTTGGTGAACGTTCAAGTTTGG